GGGTAAAATCTGATGATAGAGGATTAGAGGTGATATTTACACATTGTATTGGTATATTAATTACTATTGTTGAGCCCTAGGTTTTGGTCGAATCCCTTTGATGGATTGTTTAAAGTAGCTCTCTCAAGAACATACTCATTACTATAGTTGACTTTCAATCAAATCCTTTTGGTATTCGTATCTTGTTACAAAGAATTAATATACTTAGGGTGTTTGCCAATAGAGCTTTTGATAAATTACTCGTGTTTATTTATTATTATTTTTTAATGTTAAGATACTATTTTTTTTTTCGTCGTTGTTTGTTTAGTTATTGTTCGTGAACTTAAAGTATCTATTGTTCACAAACAAATTATGGACATGTACATTTGTTTAGCGTTCGTGAATGTGTTTGTAAACGTTAATGAACACTGATAGAGTAAAATACGGTTGCAATACAGTTGTATTATTATTCATGCGTATAAAGGTGAATTACAAGGGTCGCGCGAACTAGATAGGTTGCCTTTTCTACACACATATGCCTTGATGATGAATCCCGGTCAACGCGACAGTGGGTCAGAGGTTCTCGAACTTTATGACTGTCGTTTAGGTAAACAACCAAAAAGTCCCTCCTGACTGCATTAAATGCGGTATTTATAGGGGTTCAGAGAGCATATTCCGAACCTTCGGCATGCTGGCCGCATGGCGGCCATGCATCGAACCAGTATTCGGTCTGATCGAAGAGGACCACATGGTGATATATTCCTGGATAACGTAAGATCAATCAATCATCCGCGGCAGGCCGGCAACGACTTGGCGTGGTCGGGAGAGGGCAAAGCTAAGGACAGTCCATCCCTTGAGGGAGCTCGGTGATCCCACATGACCAGGAAAGTCAACTAACCGATCTAGGTTTAGGCTGAGCATAATTGGTACTCGTAAGACCGGTCAACGCCAAGACGAGAAGCTCGGGAATAATCCCTATCAAACACATTCACAAACGTTAACAAATAATAATAACATATGCTTAAAAAAAAATACGGACATGATTTTTAAAAATCTTAACAAACAAATACGAATACTCTAAAAATCTTAACAAACGAACACGAATTATTATGTTCAGTTCGTTAACAACCCTAAATATAGTTGAGTTTTAGTTGGATTTATTCGAATAGGTTTATTTGAATTTGTATCTTACCAAATGAAATTACTATAGTAGAGTTAGACCCTATTTGGTAACATAGTTAGCTTATTAGCTAATTTTGGTTTATTTGACTACTATTAAATGTTTGACTTGGTTAAATAACCAAAGTGTTTGATTAATTAACTTTTTTGTAATATCATATTGTTCCAAAATGCTAAAATTCAAAAAGCTGCTTTGAACAACTTTTTAGATAGAAAATTATTATTTGCACGTAATCAGCTATTAGCTAAAAGTTAATTTATCAAATATCTTCTTACAATCAATTAATGCTATTAACTATTCAAACTCACTAACCCAATCAACTAACAACTATTTACCAAATATCTCTTTAATCGTACACGGACCATAATATAATTTAATTTCAGTCGGTTCCATTCAAGGGTAGCTCCCTAAAGAACATATATTATACTAATTACTTTTAGCCGCGTTTTAATTGGACTCATTTGAGAGATCAGAATATAGTTAAAAGTTAAAACGACTTTTCCAAAAACATATTAGTTACCATAATTGAGTTTTAATTGAACTTATTAACATATCATACTATAATTGAGCTTTAATCAGATCCGGTCCATTCCATAAATTATTTGAAATTACTCTTTTAAGAAAGAAATATGTTTATGTCTGAAGTTAATTAAGAGAATCAATGTCTTAAGCATAAAGCAAGGTTATGGAGTCAAAGAGGAAGAGACATTTGTGGGAAACATCATTATTTTGCACATCTCGTGTCATTGAATTGAACTGGATTTCAACCAGTAATTATATCTTATAACTTAATTAATTATTGATGATTACTCAGCTCCCTCTTTTATCTTTCTCTTTCAATTCTCCGGCGCGCTCCGATCCCTCTATCCTCTCATATGAAACATATTTCCCTAGTGAAACATGATTCTCGTATATATAGATAACGAGTTCAATTTTTATCTACAGGTCTTTAATATTACTTATTTCTCATATGTATTTTGCGGGTTATTACACAATAGCAAATGAAATTTAACTACTGCACGCCCTCAAGCTAAGTAATAACTGCGAACAGTGTTGCAAAAATACTGTCTAGGCACCGACTAGCGTATCCCCATAATCGGTGGTCTAGGCGGTCGATTAGTTAGGTCGCCCAAGCTCTAACCGCCTAGGCCTCCTAAGCACCGACTAGGTCGCCTAGTCAGCTGATTAGCTATTTTTTTAAAAAATAAAAAATAAAATAAAAAATACACGGGTGCCTAGGCACCGATTAATCGCCGCTTAGGCGCCCTCCGAACACTTAGTCATTTTTTCAACCATGACTACGAGTTTCAATTCTCTCATCATTCACCATGTTTGCCGAGACTCAACCCTCCAACCCTTCACGTGTAGCTTCGTTTAAGCTCAACCAGACAATACGCAAGTTTTTTCAGGATTTCAGTTTATCCAGCAATGGCATAGCAAAAGCATTAACCATCCTTCAAGGGGAAGGTGAAGTGTCAATTTTTGCTGTGTATTCTCTCCAATAAACCAAATAACATGAAAAATTGAATTAAAAATAACTTCAGTCAAATCGTTAGTCGAATCAGTCAAATAAAATCTGACAGAGTGAGTATGAATTAAGTGAAGTTCCGGCGTGATTGTGAAACAGTATTGATTGACATGTCAACCAAGACAAGATAATAGAGCCCTTTAATCATATCATATTGAATAAACAAAAATGAAGGTTAAACTTGAGATTTGACTTATAACCATCATATATATATATATATATATATATATATATATATATATATATATTACAAAATTTTAAATTAAATAAGGTATCGTGTTAAATTTAAATTCGAAACTCATATAACCACGGGTAGTAATAAGAATTTTTAATTATTTTTCGACCACTAGTAGTTGGAACATTAGCCATTATGGTTCATGCTGGTGCCTAATTTCTAACCATCGAAAAAGTGATAAGAAATTTCAACTATCTTAAATGATAGTTATAAACTTGTAATTATGAAAAAGAATTTTTATGAATCTCAAAAGTGACACAATTATGGAGAGATATTCAGATTATATGATTGATATTATAATTAATCATTCCAATTAAAAAAAATTACTTTTACCAGAGAATTAATGCAATTATTAGCGAACGCTCCATCCATGTAACATTATTACAACGATCTTCCATTTAGTCACGTTGATTAGAATGCAATGCAGCAGTGCGATATTACGTATTACATATATAGTTATTGTCGGACAAAACCATAGCTTTTGTACGACATAATCAACGTTGTAATGATGCTATCTTTTCTCATCAACCAATCATACCACAGAACAAATTGAACATAACTTTGCTTACTAAGATATTATTGTTGCGATTATGCCGTAGAACATAATATTGTTATATTCAAAAAGAAGTATGATGGCCTTTCAACAACCCTATATAGCTGCTAAATGTCTGCGACCTAAATTCTCCAGCCTCCACTATGTTACCTAGTTTCTTCCTAGAACTTTAAAAATTTTATTCTACGCGTGTTCGCCAGAGGTTTAGAGGGCCGAGTCCAATTTAACATGATATTAATTGTTATGTAAGTATAAAGAAATAAAATTATACTTTCGGTACTAGCTATATACTGTTTGATATAATGCTAAGTGTTTGATTATGACAACATAAAACTTCCAAAGATTTTTTTTTTTTAATTTTACGTTGGGTGTCCTATATTTTCCTATATGTGTCTCATGTCCAATTTTTATTTTTGTACTACATAGTTTTGTTTAGAATTGGTTGGAAAACTTTTTTTTTATTAGTGGAAATGTATTTTTAGGTCAACTATAGATATATAGACAAATTCGTCCCTTAATTTACACTATATTGAAAAATCACTTATTTCCAACTATTCAAAATGTAGATGATTTTTTTTTTTAATTTTAAAAAAACTTTTCCATGGTATGTACTGGTTGAAAATTCGAGCAACTTTAGATGAGAGGTTGGAAATTCCAAATTGTCACAACGTTTTTTTTTTTTTTTTTTTAAATCTGTGTTCAATTTAGACGATTGATTTTAGCAAAATCAATGACTATCATTCAATCGCATCTTTCACCTGGACACATATGTACAAATGATACACATGTTGCTCCATATTTTATTGGCTAATTATTTGTCAGAACATATCTAGTATTGTTAGTCTGTTTTAGGTTTTGTCTTACACTCTACTTCAGTTGTGTATGATGAGTCCGTGTGTAACGCAAGATGGGCAAATTTTACTAACAAAATTCTGGTAATTAAAACCCGTCTTCAGACAGTGTTTTGAATTGGATGGCTCTCCATATTTTGAGGATTTCTTACAGCTAAAATTAAAATATGATTGTTACAAGATTTCTACTATAAAAGGTGGTGTTAAAGGCTCTTTGTGATCAACGAATAAGCTGCTCTATTAGGCGTTTCATTTTATTATCTACTGTTGTTCTAAAGGCTCTACAAGGTCATCACTTAACGTGATCATGGTGATTGATGTTTGAAGTGTGCTATTGGCTTGCACGTACCCACTCTAGTAGAGGATGAAGATTGGGTTGGTGTAAAAGAATTAAGGGCATAGTGTGTATGGATATATCTTTCCAACCCCAGTAATCTTTGGTGACCATCTAGTGAATTGGACCGACGTTGAGTAGCCTTGCAGATGTAGGAAGTTTTCTCCGAACTATGTTAACAATTTGCTGTGTCCTTGGTTCCTTTCTTTACTTATCTTTTAATTTGCAATCTGTTATTGTGTGATACATATTATAATCCAGATAAATAATTCAATTAAAATTGAGTAAGAATCTTTTAGGTAATTTTTGCATTCAAGACTCATGTATCTTTTCTAGATGTTACATAGACTCAACATAAGAAGCAAAACAAACCAAGTTGATCTGACACCCACTAGATAATTACAAAGCTTTAAGTTTCACTCTTACAAGAGTTAACTATATATTGATCTCATAGGTAAAATCGAGTAGAATTTTCCCCATAGATCAAAGAGAAGAAGCAAAATGAAGGACATGCATGAAATAGGAAACTTTTACAGGAAAAACAAAAAAAAAAAAAAAAAAAAAAAAAAGTACAAACATTATATTACATTCATGCTCGCATGTTGATTTTCCTTCTCCTTCCAGCGAGATTATTAGGGTATAGTATTAATTATGCATTATAGTCCATAATTATGAAGATTTAGGCAAATATATATATATATATATATATATATATATATATATATATATATAGAAGGAGATGATTGACTGACTCATTAGGGATAATTCCAGAGGTTGTGATCGGCCGCAGTGGCGTCCCAGTCGCCGGCGACATCGAGACGCGGCGGACTAAGGAGCATCCCTTCAGCCATGTTCACAAGAACATTCGGCATATCAAATATCATGTCTTCGTCAACAAACTCCTTACATTCTTCAGAATTATTATTGTCTAATTCGTCTCCGCCCTCCTTCGGGACCTCCAGTGCGTCCGCGGCCGCCCCGAGAGCGGCGGCCGCGGTAGCCGCCGCCGCTTGAATGTCCCGGGCGGAGTTAGACGCCGGGACAGGGAGAGACGCGGCGGAGTTAGGGAAGTTGAGCTCCGCGTTTGGACCCCGCAAAGCCCGCACCGCCACGTCGTAGGCCACCGCCGCCATTTCCGGCGTGGCAAACGTCCCCAGCCAAATCCTGTTCGGCGATCTCGGCTCCCGAATCTCCGACACCCATTTCCCAGTGCTCTTCCGCCGCCTCACCCCCCGGTACCCCGGGCTCCGACCCAGAGAAGAACCCGGCTCCGACCCCTCCGACACATTCCCGGTTTTCGTGTTCTTCGACATGACAACGTTAACACACCTCAAACCACCTCGTCGGTTGTTCTTAGGTTTCATGAAAAACAAGACGATGATGACACACTGCAAGCTCTCCCAAAGGCGCGCCATTTATTAGACAAAGATTAGGGCTAGAAGGGATGAACGATGGATCGGAAAGTGCAAACCAGTTGGAGATGAAGGGAAGAACAGCGGGCAGAGGCGAGGCGTGTGAAGGAGTTTGGGTGTAAGGCAAAAATCAAAACTTTGATTGTGTAAAAGGGTGGGTGGAGAGTGGAGAGCGATGTTAGTAGTTGCAGACAAGTGGGTTTTTATATATACGTTTGATTTTAACTAGGCTAGGTCGTATGTAGTAGGACTAGGATTGAAACAGTAGCCTGGGTCGGATTTGATTCTGGGAAAGAGAACGATATATATATCCATTATTCCAGTCACAGTGGAAACAAGATCGAATGCACAGAATGTGGAGATGGACGTTGATATGACATGATAATGATGATGATAATGATCATTTTCTAGTCTATTCTTATTCCGTGTTCCTCGATTGTACTCTATATTATCATTGCATTTACTTCTTTCTTTCCTTTTCTGCAATTCCAATTCTTAGCCTTTCTTGGGTCCTAGCTAAGAACCAGTTTTAGTTAGTTTCATGTGAGGATTGAATCCCAACTGGCCAGCATCTTCACTTGTTCTTATCTTAAAGATGTTGGATTCAACCACCGGAGACAAACTGCATGCACTAGGAAGATCATATCGATCGATCTTGTGTAATAAGTTCGATTAAAAAACGTTGACAAGAATCAAACTCATGACCTTCAATATAATAAAAATTATGTTTCACATACTCGACCACTTCTACGTACCATATTTATCCACAAAGATATATGATGGAATAATAGTGCTTCAAATGAGGTATGAATAGAGAAGATCACCAACTTGATAGGTGCAGGCCACTCTGATCTTTATTGGGTTATTTTTAGTAATTACTTTACAAGTTAATATCATTATCATTATAATATATAAATCTACACTTTATATGGCTCTCACTTGCATTATTTAATTCATATATATTCTTCACTCACAATCAAATCAAATCAATCCGCCCGTCATGATATTGCTTCACAACTCTTTACACTCAGTCATTACTTGTGAACAAATTAAACTGGCCGATAGATAGATGCATGCTCGATTCCAAAATGGATTAATCAAACGAAATTGTGTATGCATGTATACTAGCTGTTCCGCTGCATCATGCCATCGGATCATGGCGCTAACTGTTACGCAATTATAACGAAATAAAGTTACGTCTTTACTACTAACTGTAGATTTTAGTGTAATGATAAGCACTTAATCCTACACTAGCGTAGCAGTCAAACACCTGCCATTATACCAACTATTATATCTCACGGCTTATCACTACGCAAAAAATTATAACTAGTGCGAATGTCAAAGTGAAGAAGTGATGCTTTGTTTATAAAGTTTTGTTAAGACTTGTTAAGGGTAGTTTTGTCCTTTTACATTCCCTTTCCCCCTTTCCCTTTTCTGTTATTTTCGGTTGTGGTTGTACCAGACCATATAAGGAAGTCTTCTTCCTTTCCTTATCTGTATCTTCTTCATCCCATTGTTCTACAATCAATGAAGCTGCTTAGTTCCACTTTCCATCTTAACTCAAGCTAGTTCATGTCAAAGTTTCATCATGGTATCAGAGCGCCGTCCTAGCTACGCCGCGGTGGTTACAGAAAGTAATGTAGCCGGCGGGGAGAATGTGGCCGGACAATCTTCGAATCCAGCAAATCAAAGTTCGTTCGATCAACCTCCAACTCAGCGGAATGATGAATTCGATGATCCGCTATATTTGCACATCACCGAGAATCCGAATTTGGTTCTCGTGTCTCCTCCGTTATCCGAACACAACTATGCTTCGTGGAGTAGGTCGATGAAGATAGCCCTAGAGGTAAAAAACAAATTTGGCTTTGCAAATGGATCCATTCCGAATCCAGGGGAGAATGATCCGAGATATGCCGTATGGAGAAGGTGTAACACGATTGTTTGTTCGTGGATACTGAAGTCTCTGAGCTCGAGCATTGCGGAGACTGTTCTATACTATGAAATCGCAGCGGATATCTGGAAAGCTCTCAAGGAGAGGTATACGCAAGTAGATCCTCACAAAATTGCAGAGGTACAGAATCAAATTTACCGAAACACTCAAGGTAATTTGACTATTAATGAATATTTTACAAAGTGCACTGCATTATGGGAGAAGTTGAATGCCATGAGACCTATGTTACTCTGTGAATGTCCTCCTAGATGCACTTGTAATCTCCTTGCTAAAATGCAGAAAGAAAGAGCTGATGATAGAGTTATTAAGTTTCTAGATGGTCTCAATGATGACTTTGAAACCATAAAATCAGGAGTGCTTGTAATGGATCCTATCCCAGACATTGAAAAAGTGCTTAATATGGCTTTAAAATTAGAGAGGAAACTTAATGGTTCCATTGCTCAGAGGGGCAGTGATTTGGTTCAGTCTAATGCTGTGCAAAATGGTCAGAACATGTTTTTAGGAGATCAAAGTCTTATTGCTGTTTCAGATTCAAACAATAGAAAGAGGTTTGGGAATGGTGTAGGGAAGAATGTGCCTAAATGCACATACTGTGGTATGAATGGGCACACAGTTGGATACCAGGCTACAAATCCAAGAACAGACAGAGTCAGGAGGTTCAGCAATCTGCAAATTCTTCCACAAGCCAGGTTGGGGATATGGGACTATCAGCTGACCAGTTCCAAAGGTTGTTGGCCTTTATGCAAAGTCAGAATCAGAGCCAAGCTCCCATTGGCTCAACCAATGCTGCTATGAAGATGGACAGTTCAGGAATGAGGCCTACCTTCAAGCCCACTTCTGATGATCTCAATGAAGGTAGCCTTGTTTCTAATCTTTTTGCTAATACTGCTGTTAAGCCTAGTTTATGGATTGTTGACTCAGGAGCAACTGATCATATTATATGCTCCCTAGAATACTTTGAAAAATATGATGCAGTACATGGGGTCCTTGTGAAATTACCTAATGGAGAGAATGTTAATGTTAGCCATGTGGGAGAGATCAGATTGCATGAGAATATGTTGCTGGAAAATGTGCTATATATCCCTTCATTCACTTTTAACATAATTTCTGTCAGTAAGCTCACCAAGCAGTTTTCATATAAGCTTGTTTTGGATGCTGGTTTATGTCACATTCAGGGTCATCATGGGAAGATGTGTGGTTTTGCTAGAGAAAAGGATGGATTATACTTGTTGATAGATCCTCCAAACAGAAGAAAGAAGCACTGTGTTGATAAGACTACTAAAGCCCAGTGTAATGGTTTATCTTTACAGTTGTGGCATAGTAGATTAGGGCATTTCCCCATGAATAAGATGTCCTTTTTAGATGGAATAAAACATGAGCAGTTTTCAAGTTCAAAATCATATAAGTTTGCTTGTGATGCATGTCATTTTGCTAAACACAAGAGGTCAATATTTCCTATAAGTAGCTCTAGAACTGATAATTGCTTTGATTTAATTCACATGGATGTTTGGGGTCCCTTTGCTATTGCCTCTCCAAAGGGGGAACACTACTTTCTGACCATTGTGGATGATCATAGCAGATTCACATGGTTACATTTAATGAAAAATAAATCAGAGGTTGCAGTTCTTTTTCAAAGATTCTATCAATATGTTCTTAACCAGTTTTCTGTGAGTATTAAAGCAATAAGAACAGACAATGGAAGGGAATTTTTCATGGACTCTTTTTGCAGTGAGAAGGGAATTGTCCATCAAAAGTCCTGTGCTTACACACCCCAACAAAATGGAGTTGCTGAGAGAAAACATCAGCACATATTGAATGTGGCCAGAGCTATAAGATTCCAGGCTGGACTTCCAATGAGCTTTTGGGGACATTGTGTTCTTCATGCTGGCTACCTTATCAACAGATTGCCATCCCCAGTAATTGGTGAGAAGAGCCCCTTTGAGGTTATTTTTGGCAAAATCCCAAGGTATGATCATCTAAAAATTTTTGGATGTTTGTGCTATGCTGCTACAACTTCACAAGGTAGAAATAAGATGCAAGCAAGGGCCAGAAAATGTATTTTCTTGGGAGTCCCTGCTAATGTAAAGGGGTATCTATTATATGATATTGTTAACCAAGCTGTCTTTGTGTCCAGAGATGTTCAGTTTTATGAACAGGTGTATCCATTCCAGGAAGAGAAGGAAAATTCTGGTGTCATTGCTAATCAATCTGAGAATGAAGAGGTTGAGGATACTGATCCTTTGTTGGTTGGTCCTTCAAATAATACAAGAAACATTTTCCCTGGCCTTTCTCAGAATACTAATGGTTCTACTGACAATGAGAAGGATAATACCACTGCTAATGGTGATGATATTACACCATGTAGTCATGACAATTCAGAAGATGATTCTGGCTTGCAGCCAGTCAATGAAGTTGCCAATGAGCAAGAGGTTGATATGAGCAACAGACAGTCACAACACAGAAGATCTGTGAGAGTAAGGAATGTTCCTGCTAAGCTTCTTGATTACTATTGTCAGACATTGGCCAAAGACACAGCTAAGACTACTCCTCACCCTATTAGCAATTTCATCTCTTATGAGAACTTAACTCCTAGACACAGAATCTGTGCTTCCACCATTCTCTCTGCTGTTGAACCACATTCTTACACTGAGGCTGTTAAACATGAAGAATGGAGAGAAGCCATGCAATCTGAAATAGATGCCTTGGTTGAGAATAAAACTTGGATACTCACAGAACTGCCCCAAGGAAAGACTCCAATTGGTTGCAGGTGGGTATATAAAATAAAGCACAGAGCAGATGGATCCATAGAGAGACATAAAGCTAGATTAGTTGCCAAGGGTTATAATCAGCAACTGGGAGTTGATTATGTTGAAACATTCTCCCCTGTGGCTAGAATGACCACTATTAGAATCTTCTTGGCTGTGGCTGTTGCAATGAAGTGGGACATTCAGCAATTGGATATTAATAATGCATTCTTGCATGGAGATTTGGAAGAAGAAGTGTATATGACCTTGCCTCCTGGTTTTCAAAATAACAATCCAAGAATGGTTTGCAGGTTAGTTAGATCACTGTATGGCTTGAAACAAGCTAGTAGACAGTGGAATGCAAAACTTACCAAAGCTCTGTTAGACAGTGATTTTCAACAGTCCAAGGCAGATCCCTCACTATTTACCAAGGGTATAGGGGCATCATTCATTGCCCTACTCATTTATGTGGATGATATTCTAATTGCAGGAGCAGATTCAAAGTTAATTGATGATCTTAAACAGTTTTTGGATGCATCTTTCAGAATCAAAGACCTTGGGCATCTCAACTATTTCTTGGGAATAGAGGCATTCAGG